GGGTGGGGGGGGAATGTGTTCCGGAACAGTCTTTATGTCACCTTAAAGATGCAAGGCAGGAAATTTTACTCCATAAGAATCAATGAAATAAGGGGAGGTTAGGTTCCAAAACTTAGAAAATGCCACACTTGTGATTTTAACAGCACATAAACATGATTTTATTACATCTGACTGCACTTTTTAATATTTAATTAGAACAGTAATCAGATCTTAAGAAGGTGACATTTTTGTTTGTTGATGTTGATGGAGAATTAGTTGGAGAATGAGGATGAGGATGAGGATGAGGATGGGGAAGTAGGTGGAAGATCAACAGCAGCCATCTCAACACCTCAGTGTGATGGGACACCCCCGCCCTGGCACCCGATTCGCTGGAGCCTGCACAGCACAGTGCGAGCCAGCTGGCGAAGTGGCACTTCACCCCCGCACCGCGGATACCAGTGGGATATAGGGTGGGCCAGCCAGCGAGGCAGTGGTATGCCCATGCACCACGGACACCTGCGTGGGGTGGTGCAAGTCGGCTCCTCCCTCCCCCGGTGTTTCTGAGCATTCTCCTCCAGGCGCCGGGAGCTTTAAACGCAAGTGCTTTGGGAAAAGGGGGCAGCTGCGGGGAGAGAAGCGGCACCCCACTGAAGAGAGGAGTGCCTCTAGGAGGAGACAGAGCAAGAGGTGGTTCAGCTTCCACCCCACCGGAGGAACCCGAGCCCAGAGACCTAGAGGAACCTCCATCAAGGGGAGTACCCGGGATCAATGTACCCCTTCCTCAGTGACTGCCATGGGGCCGGCAGGCTGACAAGGTGAGGAGGGGGTCGCTGGCAGAAGGGACTGAATGGGAAATGTAGCTTGGGTAGGAAGTGGCCAAGTGCAGGGTGGCGAAAACCCCAGAGGTTGATGGGTTTTGGTATCGTGACCCCTGTCAACCAGGTGGTGGTGATTGCCCTCTCTTTAGGGCCTTGGGTTGGGATCCAGGAGTGTGTATGGGCCCGGGTTCCCCTACCTATGCCTGTGGGGTGGATAGCGAAAACCCCTACCCCCCTCCAGCGACTGGGCTGGGACAACTGAGACTGGAACCTATGCGGATACTTAGACTGTACTAACATAGTGGGACCAAACTGTGGAACCTGGGTGTTGACCCGGAGGGGTCAAGGGTGAAGAGTTGTTGTGATAACCACACAGGAGGTGACCCATGGCAGGGCCATTGGTTGCCCAGAGCAAAGTGGGAATCCCATGGATGGGGCTAGAATAATACAGGAGTCGGCCCCAAAGAGAGGGCCTTATCTCATGGTGGCATGGCCCAAGGGGTGACTTCCTGACAATCACAAACATCCACCAAATTAAAAAACACAGTAAGAGAACCAAAAAAAGAGTCACTGTGGCTTAACAACCAGATAAAAGAAGCAGTGACAGATAGAAAGATATCTTTTAAAAAGTGGAAGTTAAATCCAAGTGAGGAAAATAGAAAGGACCATCAAGTTTGTCAAATTAAGTGTAAAAATATAATAAGAAAGGCCAAAAGGGAGTTTGAAGAACAGTTATCCAAAACCTCAAAAAGTAATAGTAAAATGATTTTTAAGTACATCAGAAGCAGAAAACTGGCTAAACAACCAGTGGGGCCCTTGGACGATGAAGATGATAAAAGAGCACTCAAAGATGATAAAGTCATAGTGGAGAAGCTAAATGAATTCTTTGCTTCAGTCTTCACGGCTGAGGATATTGAGGAGATTCCCAAACCTGAGCCATTCTTTTTAGGTGACAAATCTGAGGACTTGTCCCAGATTGAGGTGTCAGAGGAATTTTGGAACAAATAGATAAACTTAAGAGTAAGAAGTCACTGAGACCAGATGGCATTCACCTAAGAGTTCTGAAAGAGCTCAAATGGGAAATTGCAGAACTATTAACTGTGATTTGTAACCTATCCTTTAAATAAGCTTCCGTACCTAATGATTGGAAGATAGCTAACGTGACGCCAATATTTAAAAAGGGCTCTAGAGGTGATCCTGGCTATTATAGGCCAGTAAGTCTAACATCAGTACCTGGCAAATTAGTTGAAACTATAGTAAAGAATAAAATTGTCGGACATATGGATGAATATAATTTGTTGGGGGAAAGTCAACATGGTTTCTGTAAGGGAAATCATGCCTTACTAATCTGCTAGAGTTCTTTGAGGGGAATCAACAAATATGCGGACAAGGAGGATCCAGTGGATATAATGTACTTAGATTTCCAGAAAGCCTTTGACAAGGTTTCTCACCAAAGGCTCTTAAGTAAAGTAAGTTGTCATGGTATAAGAGGGAAGGTCCTTTTGTGGACTGATAACTGATTAAAAGACAAAACAAAGGGTAGGAATAAATGGGAAGTTTTCTGAGTGGAGAGAGATAACTAGAGAGGTCCCCCAAGGGTCTGTCCTGAGACCCATCCTATTCAACTTATTTATAAATGACGTAGAGAAAGGGATAAACAGTGAGGTGGCAAAATTTGCAGATGATACCAAACTGCTCAAGAGAGTTGAGACAAAAGCAGTTTGACAAAAGCTTCAAAAAGATCTCACCAAACGAAGTGTTTGGGCAACAAAATGGCAAATGAAATTTAATGTTGATAAATGTAAATACACATTGGAAAAAATAATCCCAGCTATATATACAATATGATGGGGATTAATTTGGCTATAACTACTCAAGAGAGATCTTGGAGTCATTGTGGATAGTTTTTCTCTGAAAACATCCATTCAGTGTGCAGTGGCAGTCAAAAAAGCAAATAGAATGTTAGGAGTCCTTAAAAAAGGATTCCTCCCTCTGAGGCATCAGATATTGGCCACTGTCGGCAGACAGGATACTGGGCTAGATGGACCTTTGGTCTAAACCAGTATGGCCATTCTTATGTTTTTATGTATATTTTCATGGGCTACTAAGGGATAACTTCTTCATATTTCTAGCTCAAAATTGGAGTTAAGTTGAGCCCAAAGTTAGGACTTTTACTAAAGACATCGTTAATTATTAATAAGTCACATTATAAAATACACAGATATAAGTAATTACTGTTGAAGGGATACATAATAGCTAAACTATATGTAGGAAATTATTTATTTAATTAATTTAAGGAAATCCAGCAGATTGCTTGGCCTAGCCATCAGTGAGAAGGCCTTGCATCATTTGAATGACTCTCTCTTAGTCAATGCTGAAACTGTGTCATGACAGCCTTTAGAGAGACAGATCTTTACACTTCTGACTGGAAGGATGGAACAATCTGATGTACCTGGTTTAGCAGGACTTTTTTAAAACTCAGATTTTGTATGATTCATGAGTCGTGCAGACTGGCCCAGAACCAATAAACAGCAGACACAGAAGATACTGGTTTTCTCTTTTTAAGAGTTGTGAGTGTATTCACAGGAAAGGTACTAGTTTGAGTATTCTGGGGATTTAAGTCGTATACTATTCAGTGGACTGACACAGATCCATTAAAGTTAATGGAAAAATTATCATTGACTTGAATGGACACTAGATCAGGTCCCCAATGAATAAGTATTGTACAGGAAACAAACAAACAAACAAAAAACCATGTTTACATGAAAATAGGAAAACCATTTAGGTCCAATGGTAACATTGACCAGCCATTCCTCTTGATGTTTTGGTTTCACAAGCTCTCATAAGTTGAACATTGTTGGGGAGATCAATATGGGAGAGCTGAAAGAAAAATGTACCAGAGGAAGTAGTGTTAGGGGATTCAGCAGGTGTTATACTATACAATACAACTCTAGTCTGTCCTTAATGACTCAGGACTCCAGTACAGAGTAGGGGAAATTTTCATAGCACAAGGGCCTCTCTTCAAATGACCTAATAACTCTATTTTTCAGAAAAACTACTTTGCATAAACACCTGATAGCGCTTTTCTCTGCAGCTAGGCTTCTAGCCTCAGTATTTGAAAAATTCTAATATGAATAATTGGTTTCAGACAGGTAGCCATTGTATGTTACAGAAAAAAACAAAAGGGCACTTTAAAGATTAATATATTTCATAGAGCATTAAAGCTTAAGCTTGAACTACAACTCATTTCCTCAGATGCTGAAGAAAGAAAGAAAGAAAGAAAGAAAGAAAGAAAGAAAGAAAGAAAGAAAGAAAGAAAGAAAGAAAGAAAGAAAGAAAGAAAGAAAGAAAGAAAGTCCAGTTTGCATAGAGATAGTCCAGTTTATCTGATGTACATGGCAGATGGACAGTGTTGGCAAAATACGGATAATAAATAATTACTGTGGGACTAATCAAACATGCTGGTCTAACTTATTCATTATTAATTATCGTTATTATGTTTTACATAAAATAGAAGTAAGACTAATTCAAGTATTAAAAATACTGAAACAAAAAACACGCACTTAACATTTACCTCTCTCATATTTCTAATGCAGCATTCAAAATTGTATGGAGTGGCTAAATAACTAAGCCAAACAATTTACTTTTAATTGGTTATAGTGCTTTCTATTCTTCACAGGTCTGCAGTGTGCTGTTAAACACTGTTGTACTTTTACCCACTAATATTAATATTATTGCATTTCAGACTAAAGGGTTCTGGAGCAATTGTTGAGAAGCTATCTCAAGCATTTTGAGATCTACTGAGGAAAAGCACTATGTAATAACTAGGTATTAATTGTTAGTAGTATTATTACTGTTGTTTGTTTGTTTTAGCATGAATGTAAACATATTGACATATTTGGTTAAACTCTAGGGGTATGTCTACACTGCCACCCTAGTTCGAACTAGGGTGGCTAATGTAGGCATTTGAACTTGCAAATGAAGCCCAGGATTTAAATATCCCAGGCTTCATTTGCATGTTCCCGAGCACCGCCATTTTTAAATGCCCCGTAGTTCGAACTACCTGCCAGGAGGTTTAACGGTACTTCGAAATAGGAGCTTTAATTTGAACTACCTAGTCCGTGCCACATGTAGCTGCAGGCAGGGAGTTCGAACTACGGGGCATTTAAAAATGGCGGTGCTCGGGAACATGCAAATGAAGCCTGGGATATTTAAATCCTGGGCTTCATTTGCAAGTTCAAATGCCTACATTAGCCACCGTAGTTCGAGCTAGGGTGGCAGTGTAGACCTACCCGAGCAGATGAATAGTCCCATTCATCATTAAAGTACTTCCGAGTCCTTCATAATGAAAGTTTCCATACAAATGCACAACATTGTGAAAAGTTTTGTGTGTAACTAAATATATTAATTGATATTATCAGGTGTTGTTTTAATGGCTACAATTCCAGAACCTCAGGAGACCCCTAAAGTAACAGTTAAGTCAGTTCATCACTGTTTATGGACACACAAGTATGAGTAGAATTAGACCCTGTGATCACATACAAAGCATATTGGATAAACACTCAGGTGGAACAGATATTGTGGACTCATGGGCAGTGAGGTGTTTAGCATCAAAGGTGTTATTTGACTTCCAAAATTATCTCTACATTCTACAGTAGTTCAGCAAATTTCTTTTCACCATAAATAGCTCCCCTGTGCCAGTTTAAAAGGCCATGGCATTCATTTCATTTCATGGAGCATGAGCAGCTTGTTACCGGGATAGCATAGAATTTATCCCCATGTATCAATTTCTTTTTTTTTCAATTATAAAATAGTTTAAGATTTCTGAGAAATTATCTTTTTATGCCTTTTTCAAATGACTTTGAAAATGGACTGGGTAAACTTTTCCTGGAATAAGATTTAGAAATGTTTACCATTAGACTCATAACTACTGCAATTCATTCTCATCAGTAACGTATTCTTTCTTAATCTTTCTGTATGAATATGCTACTCTGAGCGCCTGATCTTGCAGAGCTAGTGTAATCATTTTTCTGGATTCTGCTGGTGTTTGTACTGATTGTCCAGTGACTCAGCCCTTCATTATTCACATAGGATCCTCTTCTAGGCACACTGAAATTATATATTCTCTTTGGTTTCAATAAGCTTTGGATAAAGCCCTTACCACGAATACCAAGTGAGCATAAAATGGGCATAAATGCTACTGAATCAGAAAGGCAACATTTTAAATCCACTTTGTTCAAGTTAAAATGACCACACAAAGTGAAATGCAATGTAGAATCAGGCCCAATTACTTTAATTGGTAAGAGGCTGCTTGTATTTTAAGACTGTAGGATTGGGCCCTAAATGTCTTTCCTTTATCACAGACAGCATATCCCCGGGTCAGAGGCATTCAGCATTCCAAAAGAGGTAAAATGTTTGATGTTTATGCAACTTCTTGTCTTTCCACTTTTTGAACTCCCAACAATTTGTGTCTTTATCCACTTTTTGCACAGAAATCTAACGTAGTGATAGAAATGTAGCCGTGTTAGTCTGGTGTCGCTGAAGCAAAATACAGGACTATGTAGCACTTAAAAAACTAACAAGATGGTTTATTAGATGATGAGCTTTCGTGGGCCAGACCCACTTCCTCAGATCAAATAGTGGAAGAAAATAGTCACAACCATATATACCAAAGGATACAATTAAAAAAAAAAGTGAACACATATGAAAAGGACAAATCACATTGCAGAACAGGAGGAAGAAAATAGTCACAACCATATATACCAAAGGATACAATTAAAAAAAAACCACTTCCGTTCTGAAATTTGATTTGTCCTTTTCATATGTGTTCTTTTTTTAAATTGTATCCTTTGGTATATATGGTTGTGACTATTTTCTTCCACTATTTGATCTGAGGAAGTGGGTCTGGCCCACGAAAGCTCATCATCTAATAAACCTTCTTGTTAGTCTTTAAAGTGCTACATAGTCCTGTATTTTGCTTCAGAAATCTAACGGGCATCTTTGAGTCTGACATTTACAAATGAAAAAGTAGACGACTGGCTACAGAGCTGAGGGAACTGAACCCAGACATCTCACAGCAGAGACCTGCTTTCAGATCTATAAAAGAAGTTGCAGACATGACAGATTAAAACAGTCGTGCCAATGTGTAAAAAAATACACAGGCACAACAATAGCTATTTGACAAAGTACATTCCTCTAGTGAACTTCTGCTGTTGTTATTGATGCTGCTAATAGTCTAAAGAACGGAAGACAAAAGACTGAGTAAACTTTTGAATGGAACCATGAAAATAAATGTAACATCTAAGAGCTCTTAGCTTGAAAAATTGCTGGCTAAGAATTATCATAGTTGCAGAAAGTTGTATATGGTTCTAAGAGGAATAACAGGTTTTAAAGAGGTTACTGAACTGCAGCCGGCTGGGTGCTGGCAAACTCACATAGCATAGGAGTTTGAATTCCAGGATTAACAGTATGTTTATGCCAATAGACCTCCTACTTAACCCACAATTTTATACTTGATGTCTCTTGTCCCAGATAATATCAGTAGATTAGATACTTTCACAAATGTATTATCGACCAAGTTAGCATGAGTACTGCTATGCTTCACACCATGGCCACTTGGACTTCACAGTCTCTACAATAATAGAGTTTAGATTCCCCTACTCCAAGAGCACAGACTGTTTTTGAACTAAAGAAAAAATCATTTTGTTCATCATTGCTTGTATTACAGTAATGCTGACAGACCTCTGCTAGGTCTGTGCTAAGCAGTCTCCCGCTAGGTTTGAGCTAAGCAGTGGATAATATTAATAATGGTACTAAACACTCATATAGTACTTTTCATTAGTAGATCCCAAAATGCTTCACAAAAGGAGGCCGGTATATTTAACACCATTTTACAGATAGGTAAACTGAGACACAAAGAGGGAAAGTGACTTACCAAAGGTCACCCAGAGTAAGAGCTGGGAACAAAATCCAGGTCTCATGAAACCCAATCCAGTGCTCTGTTCTCCAGGCCACACTGCCTCTACTTACATAGTTCATACAACTGTTGAGAAGCAACCCCACCCCACAGACTGTAGTCTCTAAATGAATCTATCTATGCTAACAAGCTCAATAATATCTTAACATCTAAATAAAATCTGCATTAACTATTATCATTGAAGTATCTATGACACATAGTTAAGCAGTTCTGATTTTAAGCAAAGTACCTCCTAAAAATAAGTTACATGCTAAACCCAGTATATTTGAGAGATATACAGTGAGCTTTGTTAGCTTACTGGCTAATTAGTAAGGTTATGATTCCTTCTCCTTTTCTCTAGTCCTCTACCACTTGACAATGACTTCAGACCTGTGACCAACTGCTGAAGGAAAGAATTCAGTTTGTTTTGTTTCTTATAAGCTGTATACTAACACAATTCTAAGACCATTCCTGAATGTTGTTAGATGTTAATAAATGTTTTGCTGTGTGCTTGTGTTCCATCTGTGTGTCACCCAGCCCTGCACAAACAGCTGGTATAGCAGATCTCGAGCAAACTGCCCAATGTCCACAAGATCCTTTAAAAGGCAAAGTAACCCAGGCATATTCACTGTCAATGAATAACAGTAGTAGTATCCAACAAACTCTATTGGACCAATAATACATATATTCCTGTAACAATGGACCAGTTCACTTAATGGCAGGACTTTGCATTCCTACCAGGGCCAGACAAAGACACTGCCTCTGAGATACATCTTTATACCCTAATACAAATAAGTTAATACTGCCCCTCTGATATAATTAGTTACTGTCCCCTGATGTGGTGAAGTTTTACCCATCTTCTTGAATATGTTGGTTCAATCAAAACATCTTTATTACATACTATCATTCTAACTTTATCTTTTATGAGGTGTCAGTGTGTTTCTGTTATTTTGGGGAATGTTTTCTGTACCATCCTTGATATCAGGATGTTCTGGTACCACCAGATATCAGCATGTGTTTGCATGAGTATTCTGTGACTAGCACTTCTTAGGCATGTGTATTTGTGAAATATAAGCCCTTTTCTTGCCAGATTCTGTGAGCAGCCCCTGCCTCATACCAGGCCTCTAATACAAGAGCTTATGTCTCAGGATTGCTTCCTACAATATTCTCCTCCTTTTTTACTTTTTATGGGGAGATATTTACCTAGCATCCCAGAAGAGCATAATTCATGGACTGAAGATTGCCAAGTAGGCTAAAAACTGTTATGTGGTGACCTTACTTTTTTATGTACACATTTATGTCCCATCTGTCCCTTATTTTGCATATACCCTCAAATGACTGAGGAACAAATTTTATTTTCCAGTTGTTCTTAGTCCTATATTATGGGCTTGGGAATGTTAGGTCCAGGGATTTGATTGAGGAGTATAAGTTAAATTTACTATATACATTATTATATCTTATTGCCTTTACTATCTATCCATTCACCTGCTATGATTCAACTTGCTTTTTATCTTATTTGTTCATTTTTTGTTTTTAATCTGTTTCATAGTAGGTTCTTTGTTTTGTTTTCCCCCTCATGTTAATTGCCTTAGATATTCTACTTTCTTGGCCTACTGCCTATATACTTTTTTAGCACAAACATTTTGTTTTTAATCTCTACTCATAGCTGATTTTTACAGGAAAGTAGGTCTCCAGTGTGGTTAGATGTTGATAGATGTTTGACTGCAAGTGTGTGTTCCATCTGTGTTCTGCCCCAGCCCCATACAGAAAACTGGCATGGCAGGCCTTGAGCGAACAGCCCAATCACCACATCTCCATTAAAGGGATGAAGGTATACTGCCAGGTTTTTTGTTAATGAAGCATGTTACTAGTATCCTGAAGACACTATTGGACCACTAGTACATGTATGCCTGTAACAATGGATCATCTCAGTGAATGGCAAGAGTTTCTGTTACTCACAATGCCAGACAAAAATACTCCCTCTGGAATATATCTTTATATATTAATGTAAACACGGTACATACTGTCATCCTGACCTTATATTTTAGGAGGAGTAACTTTGTTTCAATTAATTTGATATCAGGATGTTCTGGTATCACCTGATATCAGAGTGTGTTTGCATGAATACTCTGTGCCTAGCACTTCTTAGGAATATGTATTTCTGTAATATCAGCCCTGTTCTTCCCAGATGCTGTGAGCAGCTTCTGTCTCACACCAGGCCTCTAATACAAGGGTTTAGGCCTCAGGCTCTCTTCCTACTACACTGGCTATGTCCACATACAAAAATGCTACTTGAAAATATCCATAGCTTTTTGTAACCTGGGACTGTTTGGAGAGCTGCACAAAGGAGCCTTGGAGGACAGGTGTCCCAGGAAACCATGAGGAGAAAGAAGAGGCTAGACCCATGCATGTCGCTGAAGTGGAGCAACAAAGAGATGGAGCCAGCCATGCTGATGCTGTGGGATATTGGAGCCTACCAGGTCAGAGACTAGCTATGTATCAGTCACAAGAGGAGAGAAAAGTAGCTTTTCACAGATGAGAGGGGACCCTGGATTCCAACCCTATCATATTGGCAAGCTGCCAACTGTTGCAGAACTGTGGTGGAGTTACCTTTCTGAAGAGTTGTAGGATACACTCTGCCACATTCTCTCTTCTGTAGGAAGATAGGGAAGGTGAAGCAAACTAAGCCAAAAGGAGCAGCAATCAGAGATCCTGGGCGGACTTCAGTTTGCTGCACAACTTTGTGATTGGAGGTGAAGACAGCATGTGTAATAGTGTACTGATTAGTCTCTTTCCTAATGTGATTAACATGCAAGGATGAGATGAAGAAGAAAATCTAAAGGCAGTGGAGATTAAAGTGACTCTCTATGTATAAGATACTTGACTACATTTAAGTTTTACTGCAAAGATATGTTTATGGACCCAGTGAGAAAGACTGGTTAAATGGAAAGTTAATAAAGAGACACCATGTGGTTTCTGACCTAGATGGAGAGACATTAGAAGATGGAAAGAGGAAAAAAAAAATCTGATTAGGCCAAATGTGGAGAGAAGAAACCTTTCAGGGATACAGGTCCATGTCTGAGCATCATATGGTGAAGTTCTGTTTGTTGTTGTGGAGATAATAGGTTGGGATAATTTGTGGCAGCCCTACTTTTTCTTCTTTTGGGGTCAACATGTCCAGTATTCAAGATGCATGAAAAGAAGCAGAAATAGTGCATAATCATTTTGCTCAGGGTTATACCAAAAGATTGCGGTATCATCTGGGTTAGTAAATTCCTAGCATTGTAGTTTTAGGTGTGTTTAGCTCATTGGATGCAATTCCCCATTGGCAACACTGTGATGTCAATGTTACACCAAGATTTGAAGCTGTCACAATGTATCATGGTCTGGAAAGGGGAAAACAGGTTATAATACTATGGAAGGCCAATGCAATCACTGCAGTGTGCTTAAAGTTGTGCACACAGACTCAGGTATTCCAAGAAGGGAATATCTTTCCCAGACAGGAGACATAAGATTCAGACATAGAACTTGACCATGCTCTCAGTAAAACATGTATAACTCAGCAGTAATTATCATTACAATCAATGGAATTAAACTGGAGTAAAATCACTGGGACATCAGATTCAGTCAATTTGACTTGACTTTTCACACCAACATCAAGTCTCAGTCTGAATAGAGGGGACCAAGTATCCAGGAGTTTTAAGAGGTGACATCTTGAAGAGGCCTGGTATGTGTACGTCTTTGAGTACGGAGGATGAGGTCTAAATAAAGTTCTTCCTGTTCATGTATTAACTCATTCTGGAGTGTTAGGCAGTAGGGTTAAGACCTTTGATCCAGCCTTATTAGGCATCTTACATTATCCAAAGCCTAATTTATTGGAACTAGCAACCAGGAGGGTAGAAGTGGTGCCTATTTAGCCCTGATCAGGCTGACCAGCCTGGACTTGATTAGTAACAATAGTCTCTGCAAATTTCTAAAATGCACATTGGTCTCTTCCAGAAAAACTTCATCTACTTATATCTGTGCCACTTTTCCCTCTCTCTGTTGAGTTAGCATTTCCTTAAATACCGTGCTTTCTGACCTGGTACTCCAGGAAATGCCTGTTTAGCATATCAAATTATCATTTCCAGTGCTGCATCAGCATTTCTGGCAAATGCCACTTTTCGGCAGAGATCCATTATTTTTATGGGAATTTAGAACTGCAGCTCTGTTACAGAATATAATGACAGGATGCCCTCAAGTGGCAAAATACAAACTCCACCCGGCAAATTTTACGTAGTTTATTACACAACCATTTTCTTCTAGAACAGACATTTTCCAGATGAATTAGTCCAGAGACGGAAGAGGTAATATAATGTAAGGTTTACAGGTCAGCAATCCAAAGAATGAGGAACCACTAACTGCTGGATGCTACTCAGCCCTTACCCTAGAGTAATAGCTTTGTCTCCCTGCTACACTACTCATGTTCAGAGAACATAACCTGACAAAATACACGTGAATTGCAAATTTGCATTAATTGTCATTTATTTACATAAATCCAGGCATAAGCCATCAACAGCTTGTGCTTTCCCATTTCAAAGTTATTCTGTAACAAACCCCACAGAGGGGAAATAAAAGCATGTATTCATGGAGGGCCTATAATATTTCATAAGTGTCTTAGACTGTATATAAATCCAACATATACATAAACAATAATTAAAAAGCATCCATATCAATAATTAACATGAAAACTACTTTCTGAATTCATACAAAATACACCTATACAGTGTCCAGAGTCCTGCAACAGAAAAAACAAAGTTGTTAGCTCTAGTTTTTTTTATAGAAAGGTCCCTAAACTTTTAGTTTGTATGGTGAAACAGAAACTTTAACAATCCTACTTTTGTCTTTCTACTCCCCCACAAGTATTGTGAGTGATAATATTACCAATTTGTATAGACAGTTGTCTGCTTATTTTCCAGATAGAAGTTATAGGTACTGAAAGAATGCCAAAGCATAAGAGGTTGGAATACTCATTAGAACTGCAAATACTATAATGATGAGCACCAAATAAGAACCTACATAGAAAACAGTACAATAATACATGGCAATTTGTTTACTCTCTAATTTCATACTTATACTTCCTCTGAAACAAGTGACTATAGATTGGCAAATAAGTGAAAAACGGCAAGACTAGTACTTGGCTGTACATCCCTGAAGTTAGTGTTTTATATTACTTCTGAGGTTTAACAGCATCAGATCAACAGGAGATCAGTAATGGGATGTGTACACTATGGGACGAGGTTAAATTAAAATACTTAACTTCAGCTATGTTCATTGCGTAGCTGAAGTTGAAGTGCCTTAACTCAACTTTTGGTGCTGTCTACACTGCAGGAAGTCCAAAGGAGTATACTCTCCCTTTAACTTTCCTTACTCCTCATGGAAGCAGGACTACCAGCATTGACCAGTCCCCCTCTTAGTTCAAATTAGCGTGTCTTCACTAGACCTGCTCATTCGAAC